TATGTCATGAATCATGACTTAATTGTATGATTATGAGAATGTACATTATGATTGTGATTGTGGCTTGTTGAATGTATCTGGTGTTACGTTCCGACACAATAACTTAAATCGAGTGCCACATTTCGGCGCATATAGGGGATCAAGTGTCACGTCTGGCACACTGACTTGGATCGGGTACCACGTACCGGTACACTAACAATTTGGGTATGGGTTCCGTGAGAGGACCAATGACTTGGCATAATTGTATATCTTGAGATTGTGAAATTGTATGTTGTTCGTAAATGATAATTGATATTGTATATGTTCGGTGTATGCATATTTATTATTGTTGTAATGACTTATATATGTTTCGTCTATTGGGATAGTCGTGTGATCCTACTAGTACACTGTGGTTGTGTACTGATACTGCACTTGCTCTTTCTTTGTTGAGTATATAGGACATCTTCAGGCAACTATTGATAGACCTCGCTTAGAAGATCAGTGATCAATCACAATCAATTCAAGGGTGAGCTAGTTCTTTCGGGCTGCCATGAGTTCTCTTTTTGTTTTACGTCCACATTTTCGGACTTAGACTAGTACTTAGGATTTTCTTATGTTTAATTGGGTTGTACCCATTTCCTTAGACTTATTATCCTTGTTAGAGTTTTGGTAAATTGACTTTCAGGTTCTAGGCATTATTTTCGCATTTGGTTGTTAGACTTTTGTTGGAGTTTATGAGAACTCCCTATTTTCCTTTAGCATTTAAACCTGCTTCTGTAACTTTCAATGCCTTAGTTTTGATTAAGTTGTGTAGTTCTTGGTTAGCTAATTAGTATTAATGGTTCTTCCACCGGAGGGTTAGTGCGGGTGCCAATCATGATGGTCTGGGTCATGACATTTGATAAATTTCAATCACCTTTATTTTTTATTAATTGAGTTAAAATTATTAGTCATTATAATTGCAAATCGGTTACAAACCTTTTAACCTTCCATTCATTTCCATAAAATTCTCATAATTTTGTAGTTCCTCACTTAATTTCTTTTGAGTTGTAAGAGCTTCAGTTTTCTTGTGATAAAAATGAAGGAACGTGATGTGTTACAATTTTCAAGGAAGCCAATGTTTAAAGGGTATTCTTAACCTCTTTTTTGTTATTATATTATTTATTTTTTTATTTTATGTTTTTGTTTTATTGCGATTTTAACCCTCTGAAGACTTCATGTATTTCAGTAGAATATTTTAACATGAATCAAGATTTTGGAATATGTAGTTCCTTAATTTTGTAGTTCCTCACTTAATTTCTTTTGAATTGTAGGAACTTGAGTTTCCTTGTGATAAAAATGAAGAAAAGTGGTGTGCTACATTTTTCAAGAAAATATTCAAAGGGGTATTCGTACCTTTTTTTTGTTCCTTAATATTATTTATATTTTTTTTTGTTTTATTGTGATTTTAACCCTTTGAAGACTTCACGTATTGCAGTAGAATATTTTAATATGATTCAAGATTTTGGAACGTACTCATTTAATTTCTTTTGAGTTGTAGGAGCTTTATTTTCTTGTAATAAAATTGAGGAAAGTGGTGTGTTACATTTTTCAAGGAAACCAATGTTCAAAGGGCTATTTGTAACCTTATTTTTTTTAATTATTTTGCTTTATTGTAATTTTAACCATTTGAAGACTTCGTGTATTTATGTAGAATATTTTAATATGAATCAAGATTATGGAATACTTGAAAAAATTTATTAGGTATTCAATTTCATTTTTGAAAATGAGGCATATATGGTGACAAAACCAAAAATAGCATATTGTAGTTCCTTTTGAGTTGTGGGAGTTTGAGTTTTATTGTGATAAATTTTTCAAGGAAGCCAAGATTTAAAGGTGTATTGTAACCTCTTTTTCATTGTTTTATTGTTTATGCCTTCTTAGTTTTTCTTTTCCTTGATTTATCGTGATTTTAACCTTTTTGAAGACTTCATGTATTATATTATACATCTGATTTCATTTCTCAAAATAAGGCAATATGGTGACGAACTTTCGCAATTCGAAAAATAAAATAGCATATTGTAGTTCTAATTTAGCTTTCTATAATTACTATGCTTTCAAATAACATGTTCTAATGACATAATATAAGTCATGCAATGACAATTATCATTTAAGTAACGAGAAAAAAAGTTAAATCGATAAATATTTATATGTATTTCATCCTTATCTTAGGCAAGGAAAATTCATCAACAATCTCAATAATTGTTGCAGTCTGCAAGGAATAAGTTGTTAACAATGATATCATATGCTTGATCAATAATAAAACATGAATTTGCCATGTAGACGAAACTCATCCACACATATAAAGATTTGGCCAAACCCATCGGTGACCCTTAAAGTTGGCACAAAGGTTCACTTAGGCACCTCAATTGGACGATGTTTATTTTAGACACCTAATGTAGGGTCTTGCTATGTCATTTTGACACTTTTTATTATAATAAGCAAAAAGCTGAAGGAGAGTGTAATACACTCGTTGATGACGTGACAAACAACCAATTAAATGATTATATGTGTAATTTTAAGTTAAAATTTATTTTAAAATCTATTTAGTAAATAAAATAAAAATATTGTTCTAAAAAATCAATTTACCCCCCCCCCCCCCCCCCCCCCCCCCCCCCCAAGGTAGTTGTCTTCTCTACTACACCCAACAATTTTTTTTATTTTTTATCAACTTTTTAAATTGTTTCGGATCTCTTTTTTTTCTTTCTTTTTAGTGTTGTTTTTTGGGAAGAAAAGAGGGAGAGGAAGAAAGAAAAAAATAATGAATATGAAATATGAGTGTTGGTATCCATTTTTCCGATAAAAATGGTGGAAGGAGGTGATTGTAGATTTAAAAAAGTAATACAACGAAGAAGATGAAAAATGACTTGAAAAATGGATTTGAATAAAAAATTACACCTCCATTGAAAGAGTTTAAGCTTCAAAAAATGGTGGGAGGTGGTAGCTTGAAAAATGGAGAAAAAGAAGAAGAGAAAATAAAATAAAAAAATAGTTAAATTGAGTCTTTCACGCTCTATTGTTGAGTGTATCACACTCATTTTGACATGTCAGCAAAAAGTGTCAAAATGGCACAACAGAACTCTACATGAGGTGTCTAAAATGAACATCATCCAGTTGAGGTGTCTAAGTGAAACTTAGTGCCAACTTTAGGGGGCCACCGATGTGTTCGGCCTAAAGATTTTCTTTTCATAAAGTGATTTCAAAATTTTGACATTGTTTTATGCTATTGTCCAAAATTATATCTTACTCTTTAATTTCACTTAAGAATATTATTAAAATTTATTATCTGAAATATTCAAAACAGTGATTATTTTGTAGTATATATTGATAACATGAAGATAGCATGTTAGTAAACATGTAAGTATTTAACTATTTTAGAGAAATTTCATTATACTTTTTGATATCTCACATGCATAAGAATATTAACTTTATTATCTGAAATATGTGAATGGTGGAAGCTCGCAACTTCAAAAAAAATATGCTTTATAATAAGAAAATTACTTACAAATTACGATTAACAATATATTGCTTACAAAATGTATCACGTGTGAATGATAAGTGCAATATAGTCATACCTTTTTCTAAGAAAAATAAACGAATAAAAAAGTATAAAAGTTAGAATTTTTTTAGACCTTTTCTTTACATTGTTTTTTTTTTCTTTTAAAAATATTTTTTACAAGGATAAAATTATGAAATTAATCAAATTATATTCTAAAAAAGCAAAAAAAAAAAGAGTTAAAATATTATATACACTATTCGATACATAGCAATCTTAATAATTTTTATTTTCATTACTTTTATTGTTATAACTTCAAAAATAATTAATAATTATATCACATTATTTGATATTTCATATTGTAGTCCTATAAATAAAGACATTGTAAAACTTTTAACGATTAAGATCGTTACAATGATATTATAAATATATCTTTCATCTATTATTTAATAAAATTATTAGTATCTTATCATTTTTTATAACCGCGCGAAGTGCGGGCTGGTTTATTTAAAAATATGTCATAAAAATTAAATTTAAGGATAATTAAGCTTTTAATTAGCCATTATAATCTAATTAAATGACACATATCCTAATTAACTCAATCCTACCCTTATTAAATGACACATTTATGATTATTTGACTCATGGTAACTTATCAGGTGATTTTTTTTTTTGAGTGAATATTTTCTCCCATTTATCAAATATCACCCGCACTCAATTAACGACATATTCATTATCGAGTGACTCATAATAGCTTATCTAACGATATTTTTTTTTGGGTGAAGTTTTTTTCCACCTGACAAATATCACCCTAATATCATTAAACGATACATTCATTATTACACGATTCGTTATACATTATCTGGTTACAAATTTTGATATTTTTCGTGATCGCCTAATTGCCTACATGTTTGTGTGACTCCTCCTGATAGAATTTGTTCATTTGCATTAACCAATTGAGTCATTTCTACGTGACAACTTACCCATCTTTTCTTATATCTCTCAAATATCAGTACTGTAATAAAATGAAAAATTCACAATCACATGATTCATAATATCCTATGTGTCATCAATATCAATGGCCGAACCAGAATTTTTGATAAGGGGTTCAAAATCTGAAGAAATAGACACACGAAGTAGCCGAAGGGGGTTCGACATCTACTATATATACCTAAAAAATTATTTTAACCATGTAAAAATAATATAATTTTCCACCGAAAGGGGTTCGGATGACCCCCCTAAAGATATGGTGGCTCCGCCACTGATCAATATATATATATATTTCATGTAATTTTTTTTTTCCATCTATCAAAATATCATTTTAATAAATATATAATATATAATACCTTGGAATTTGTTTTAGTAAATTTAAAATAATATGTAGTTCGTTGATAATTTCTTTTTATGAAAATAGGTATTAAAATAAAATATTTTGATAGGAAAAAAGAAGAAAAGAGTAACAGTTGTTGCGCATAGGTGAAAGGGTTTTTCCCTTTTAACGTTAAAAGAGGGTTTCTTTCTCCAGATGAAACTCGCTCACTCTCTCTCTTATTCAAAATTCAAATTAAATACAAATGGGTTCTCTTGTAGATTTTGAATCACAGATGTTCTTTGGATCGTGTTCTGTGCGAGTGTGAAAAGCATGGCTACCAGGCGATCCGTTATCCAGTTGCAACCACCGGTGCCGGAAATATCGATGCGAATTCTTGCTGACTCATGTACCACAGGCAATCCTAAGGTTCTTTGATTTCTTCTCTTTCTTTCAATTTTTTTGTTGAAAATTGTGGAGTTGGAATAGTTCTGATGTTGTTCTTTGGTCATTTGTGGAACTGAACTGGTGAGGAAGACGTGACTTTGATTTTGTTAGGATTGAGGGAAAGTAAGGAAGGATATAAGACTGTTCAGTTCAAGATTTTTGTTCTTGGTACATGTTGAGTTTTATTCTTGATTTTTTTTTCTTTCTTTCCTCAATTTTAACATAGATAGAGTTAGCTGAAACATTCTTCTTTTAATTTCTTTTCTTCGCTAGTCTGAATTTGTTCAGAGCCCTAAAATCACTGTGTTCAGAGTCCTAATTGTCGTTCTGTATTCACAGCCTGAAAATCGCTGGTGTGAGTTTGTTCTAGGTTATCTTTTCCAATTTTTTTATTTATTTTGCATGTTCTTCCCTATTGAACTGTAAAGTCACTTGGATCGATTCTTTCCCGTTGATAGTGTCATATTGGGTGTGTGGAGATGTTGGCTTGAGATCTTTGGTTGGGTATACTATAGTCTTATGATTTCTTCTTACTAAATATTATTGTCTTATCCATATATTAATTAGAGACAATTTTGAGGAAGAATAAAGTGTTTATTGGAGTATATTGCAGTTACTAAATTTAAGAAATACTTCAACATGTGTCTTAAATGAAGTTGAAGTCAATTCACTCAAGAATCACGTGTGTAGTTGGTGAGGAATTGGAACCAGACGTGATTTTGATTTTGTTAGGATTGAGGGATGGATAGGTCCTGGTTTTAAATTTATATCAATCATGTTAGTGAACTTTTTGGTTTGAATAATTATGTGAATACAAGGTTTTGTTTGTGTTTGTTTTCATTCACTTTTCCTGTTTTATTTTCTGTTGAAGGCTTAGCAGAGCAGTCTTTTTACGTGGGTTTATGTCTTAATCATATAACATTCTGTTTTTGATGAATGTTCCTATTTGAGTTTGAATGCTATTGAGTTTGATTGGCGTTGATTGTGGCAAAGTCTGAGTAGTTGTTTCCGAATTGATGCATGAGGTTGCTTGATGGTGGATTGGTTGACAACATTCTTAAGGGCAAAATCGTCATCTTTTTGGGAAACTTTTGCCTTGGTTGGTAATAAGAGCATAGTCATGCATGTGAATAGTGTTGAGCATACCTCTCCGTTTTTAAAAGGTTGAGCATGTTATGAGTGATTTTGTGACAACTCTTACAACTCTTTTTGTGACTTTTGATTCATTAGCGATTAAACTGTTAAATGCTACTTGTATTTTCTAAAGGAAGTAAGATTTTGAACCATATTGATTGATTTGGAGGCCATGTGTGGTGAGTTGTTGCATAATGCCTTGTGTTTGCTTTTGCCACCTAGAACTTACCCGGTTGGTCTTGAAATGTTGGTCTTGAATGAGTTTGGTTGGAGAAATGATCTTAGGCTTTCTTTAATATCTTGAAGTCCACTTGGCCTAAAAATCCCACCTTTGTACTAAATATATCCTTAGTTGTCCCCTTTGAGCTTAATCCTTTTTATTGGCAACCACATTACAAGCCTTATCCTTTTTGAAAAGGTAACCCTCTTTTGAACCCTTCCCTCCTTGAACTTGAGGTTGTGAAAGTTGAGGCTAAAAGCCTAAGTTGGGGGTGTTATGGGAAATTTATTGAAGGGGTGTTTACTAATGAAGGCATGATATAAAAAAAATAAAAAAGAAGAAGAATGAAATTGAGGGATGGATGGAAAAAGAAAGAAAGAAAATGAATAAATGAGTCTTGAATCCTCCAAAAGTTGAAAATGGCTGCATGTGGAGCATCTAAAGTGGAAATAAAAAAAGAAAAATGAAAAATAGTGTGGAATGTGCATGGGTTTGAAAAATGGAGAATGTTGGAAATGATGAGTTGTTGTGTAGTGTTCAAGGAGGGTGTAGTCACTTATACCTAAATTATATCCTAACCTTCCCTAAGCCTATATTACAAGCTTAACAAAGTCCTTTGAGATTTCTAACCAAATGGAGTTTAGTCAATGTTGATTGAAAATATGGGCAAGCCTATGGTGTGACATTTGTGTGCATGAGATAATTCTTTGTGAGTGTGAGTGTTGCATCTTTGTCCCTTGTCTTGTTTATGCATGTTTGGTTTCGGGACACTTCTTTCTTCTGAGGGCATGTAAGTTTAAAAAGTGGTGATTTTGAAGATTCCTAATTAAGTCAAGTGAGCATGTGAAAGAGTTAATGAGTTGAGTCATTTCTTGAGTTTGGGTTGTTGCCACTTAAATGATTCTTGATTTTTGAAAATGTTTCATGAGAATGAGAGGATTCTTTTATGAAAAATTTGCATGTGGACTAATTGTTATTACCAACCAAAGCCATTACCTTTGTGCTTAATTGAGAATGGGAAATTGATTTGTGGTGTATCTTGAAATACGAGTCTCTTGTGTTTTAGATTTTCTTGACCTGAGGAAAAACAAAGTTTCTAAGTTGGGGGGGTTGATGAGTGGTTGATTTCCACTCATTTGAGGCTCTTTTGGTTGTTATTTTGTCTTTTAGTTTATAATTGGTGCTTTTAATGTTTTTTTTTCATATTTGCACGTAAATGAAATGGAGGTTCTTAGAAAATGTTGAAGGTGCAGGGTTAGCACCATTCAATTATTAGCTTTGTTTTAGAGGAATCAAAACAATGGCAGAAAATGCTTCCACCGTCTTCAATGTTCACGTGCCGGAGTTTGTGGATGCTATTTGGGTTGCTCTGAGGGATCCAACGTTGGCTGTTCGGGAGAAGGCTGTTGAGACATTGTGTGCCTGCGTTCGTGTTATTGAAAAGTGTGAGACAAGATGGTGTGTTCAGTGGTATGTCTATTTCTCTCTCCTCCCTTATAGTTTTTTAGAAAATGTCATTAACATTTTAACAATATGTAAAAGAATGTATCAATCACAAATTTCTTGATCCAAGGCATCTACTCTTAAATTGGTGATTCGACAGGTATTATTGAATGGTTAAGCCTACCCAAGATGGATCGGGTTGAAACGCTCATGTTCATAGTATACATTGATCTTTTCTCGCAGTTGGGGAGCTGCTAAGGTTTGTTATCAAATTGCATCACATTATTTATTTCATTGTAGGAAAATATTTCAGAGTCTCTTGTGTTGTGTTAAATTGTTGTGATCTGCTGAATGTCTGAGGAACTGGATACTTATCTCCTGTTTTACTAGTGATTTTGAAGTTGAAACTTGAATATTTGAAGTTGTGATTTTCGGACATGCATTTTACTTGGAAAAGAATTGAAGTTTTGTAAATAGAAGTCCCTAAAATGCAGAACTTTGATTTTTTTGGAGGTAAATGCTAGCTTAAAATCTCTAGTTATATTGTGAGGACTTAAGTACCTCAAGGTTGACGACATTACATATGTGTTTGGGTGCGAATGCCTACTACCTATTTGTTTTCTTTTATAAAGTAATTATTAATGAGGGTAAGAACTCCTGGATGCAAACCATATACCAAAAGGTGTCTACTACCTACTTGCTCTTATTAGCAATTGTATCTAGAAGGCATTTGTGATCTATAGATTGATTAATGATCTATGGGGCAATCTGGGTGTTTCAGTCATTTATAGAAACCTATTTGAGTATGGTGAGCCGTGGATATAATGCCTTCAGAATAGGCGCGAGTGAGTGTGAGTCAGTGTTCTTCATTTCAGTATTATGAAAGGCCATAAACTTGTCCACCATGAGTAGTTTCAAAATTCTACTTATCAGAAAAAAAAGAAGGGCCAAGTCTAAAGAATTTATAGAACTTCAAAGTAACCGGAGTGTCTTTTACCTTTAGAGTTTGTGTTACTTCTTAGCTATTGTTACTGTTAATCTTGAAAGATCCCGAATACAATATTTAGCATGAGATATTGGATGTAGGTCCTGAATGGTTAAGTAGGCGATTTAACAAAGAATATGTTATCTCATTATCTTTATATTTTGTTGAAAAACCTTTCGCGTCTATACTGGTGAACGGATAAATTGCATTTATAAAAGGAGTGCAAGTATAATTGGAGGGTATAATTGATTTTTAACCAAAAAGAAGAAGTGAGGAATGTAGACTTTATTCTGACAAATCTTTACGTTGGGTAACTTGTACTCTATATCTAGAGCATGACCAGATGCAGATTTAACCAAATGAGTAGTTTTTTGAAAATACTTTGTAGGCACTAAACCTTCATGAATACAGCTAACATCTGCAACGCTATCAATCATGGCAATGTTAGTAATCGAAAAACTGTTATAAATTAAAATAGTACATTTAATATACCATTTATGAGCCGTGACAATTTGCATCATTCCTAAAAACATATCTTGTTTAGGATCAGGATTAACAGGTTGATCTTCACCTTCAGCTTGTTTTCCTTTGTTTTTTGAAAACCGATCTTCGATTCTGAGTAATACGGTGATCACAAATCAATTGATTTTGTTTGAGAGATTTAATTTCCCTTTTCAGATTCTCGACTTCAATTTTTAAATCATCGAAAGAAGAATCTTTTTCAGAAAAAGAATTTCTTTTTAAAAGACGATCATCAACTTCTTTTAAAGAATAAGGAGCAGAATATTCAAAATCATCATTTTTCTTATTTTCAAAAGGTTTTGAAGAACTTGAACTGGCTTCATTAGTAACCAAATTAATAATTTTTTCACGAAGCTTACTATTAGTAATTTCCTTCAGAAGTTCAATCACATTATCAGAAGTAATTGTATTCACATTTAAATCTTGAAATATGCGACGGTAGCACACAGATTCCTCTATCTGTGTTTTTAACACTTTTGCAGATAATCGAACATAGATTTGGTTGAAACTTTGAATAGAAGTTTTTGAAGTTGGAGTTGTATTGGACATGTATCGCACTTGCAAAAAGTTGAAGTTCAATGAGTTGAAAAAATATTCACTGATGTCAAACTTGAAAAACTCATCTTCAAAAAGTAACCAAAAAATCATTCCAATGCATAACCAAACAATGTTTTGAAAATAAATTTTGGGAAAAGGTAAAAACTTTCAAAGTGAAAAAGATTCTAGGATAGTTGTTGGTTTGTGACGGAGCGGTTTGCCTGTCTCTGAGGTGCTAGTGGGGTGAAGGGAAGGTTCTTAGGTGATAGATGGCTGCATGAAGAGGGTGATGGTCGAGGTACCTCTACTAGCAATTGGAGGACAGTTTTTTCTTTGCTGTATTGCCATGTATTTAGTTATGCTAATAAGTTCCATGACTACTTTAGTTTCACGCATTTATGTGCCTTTTGTTTTAGTCTCCTTCACAAAGAATAATGTTATATGGTCTCAATTCATATGCTATGGGAATTGGACCCACTATTATTTCTTCTTGTGATATGATACGAGCTAATTTATCATCAAAATGTGCAGGAACACAGGGGAGTTCATTATGTCAAGATACAGGGAGGTTGCTGAAATTGTTCTAAGATACCTGGAGCACCGAGATCGCCTAGTTCGCCTCAGCATAACTTCTTTACTTCCTCGAATTACCCATTTCCTGCGTGATCGATTTGTACTAACTATTTAACGGTTTGTGACATTTGACTTCATTTTAGTGATTTAATCTGCCTTTACTAACCGGGATATCTAAATGAATTAAATTTGCATCTTCAATGTTAACTACTGTAACCTCAAGTTTGTTTATTTTACTTCTACAGATATGCATTAATCATATACCTCATGTCCTTAAAATACCTGCAGAATGTGCCAGTGGGTTCCTTGCTCTTGGGGAGATGGCAAGTTCTCTAGATGGTGAACTCATTAACTATTTGGCGACAATAACCTCTCACTTGGGTGATGTGGTATGTTATTTATGTCATTGCAGATGTACTTTTTTTTGTTGGTGATAAACGTAATGTTGTATTCCTCAGTATTAAGGCTATGCCGGCAACCTCTAAAAGATGTGCCCATAAATTAAACAAGTAAGAGTAAAAACAGAAGAAGAAAAAACTAAATACTTACAAAAGCACCATAAAATCTACTCATCATTCATCTACTAGTACACCTTTACACTAAAAGTATGATGTATTGAAGCAGATTTCTTTGATTGTCTGAACAGGGTTGGTACTATCCTAAAAATGTCTATTGTTTCTTTTCTTCCAATAGAGTTCTTGAATCCTAAGGTTCTTTGATTTCTTCTCTTTCTTTCAATTATTTTGTTGAAAATTGTGGAGTTGGAACATTTCAGGGAATCTTGATGTTGTTCTTTAATCATTTGTTGAATTGGTAAGGAAGTGGAGCCAGACGTGATTTTCATATTGATAGGATTGAGGGAAATTAAGGATGTAAGACTGTTCAAGATTTTAGATAACTCCCAAGTCTTTCTTCTGTTTCAGCCTTTGAAGGTAAGCAAGGTGGATCAGAGGACGACTATTTTTATCTTACACAACTTTAATTATTATTGTGGGTTTCTATATGTTTTTTTTTATCCAGTTTGGTATCATGACGCGATATTGAAGTGACTGTTCACTGTTTTGTATACAAGATTCCTCTTATATGCCTCTTGTTAATTATTCTTATTCACTTTCCCCTCCATCAATCAAGAGAGATGGATAGGTCCTGGTTTTAAATTTATATCAATCATGTTGGCGAACTTTTTGGTTTGAATAATTATGTGAATACCAGGTTTTGTTTGTGTTTGTTTTCATTCACCTTTCCTGCTTTATTTTTTATTAAAGGGTTAGCTGTGGGTTTCTGTCTTAATCATATAACATTCTGTTTTTGCCGAATGTTGCTGTTTGAGTTTGAATGCTATTGGATGATCTCTCTCTGCCTCTTTCCATTCTTCCTAGTTCCCTCGTCTAAAGTTCTCTTTTAAATACTTGAGTTGCTTGTGAACCATGCCAGAAATCTTATTTTAATTTCTTTGGTAGGAGGGGGGCTGCATTGGTTTTGAGGCAGCTTGTAGAGGAAGAAGCTTGTGATCTTAGTGGAGAAGGTTTTGCTCATTTTATGGATCATCTATATGAACGCATTACCACATTTCTTGATAGTAATGAAGTTTCTGAGAATCTCGGTGCATTGAGGGATATTGACGAGATAATAGATGGCACCATCAGCGAAAATGCATCAAAAGTGACACAATTCTCCAATTACATTCGCGTTGCTTTTGAAACAAAGTGTGATCCTGAAATCTTGGTCCTTTGCTAGGTTCTTGGTCAAAAGTTCAGGGAGTTCCTCGTATTCTCTTTTGATATTTGCACTGTGAGAACACAATCTCATTTTCTGTTGGGGGTGCCTCCCTTGTAGTCATTTAGTTGATTGTTTCTGCATATAGTGATTGTGCCCTTGTCGGACGTACCTTTCTTTCTTTGTTATGGATTGGTGTGCCCTTGTCAGGATTTGATATTGTGAATGTTTATGTTGATATTGTGTTGGATTGGTCTATTTTAGTTTTGATACCTAGTTTGTAGCTTCTTTGTTTTTGTTTTGATAAAAAGATTTGGATTGACGATGCCCGATGATGGATAGAGCGTGACGACTTTCTTAAGGGTAAATCGTCGATTGCTTGTGAGTATTTGATTGACGTTGATTTGAGTAGTTCACGAATAGATGCATGAGGTTGTCTTTTTGTAACTTTTGATTCGTTAGCAGTTAAAATGTTCAATGCTACTTGTATTTTCAAAAGGAAGTAAGATTTTGAACCGTCTTGATTGATTTGCAGGCCATGTGTGGTGAGTTATTGCATAATGCCTTGTGTTTGCTTTTGTCACCTAGAACTTGTCCGGTTGGTCTTGAAATATTGGTCTTGAATGAATTTGGTTGGAGAAATGATCTTAGGCTTTCTTTAATATCTTGGAGTCCACTTGGCCTAAAAATCTCACCTTTGTACTAAATATATCCTTAGTTGTCCCCTTTCAGCCTAATCCTTTTTATCGGCAACCATATTACAAGCCTTATCCTTTTTGAAAAGGTAACCCTCCTTTGAACCCTTCCCTCCTTGAACTTGAGGTTGTGAAAGTTGAGTCTAAAAGCCTAAGTTGTGGGCGTTATGGAAAATTCGTTGAAGGGATGCTTACCAAATGAGGGCATGGTGTAAAAAAAAAAATATAAAGAAGAGAGAAATTGAGGGATGGATGGAAAGTTTTAAAGAAAGAAAAAGTTTTGAAAAAGAAAGAATGAAAATGAATAAATGAGTCTTGAATCCTCCAAAATTTGAAAATGGTTGCATGTGGAGCATCTAAAGTGGAAATAAGAAAAGAAAAAATGAAAAATAGTATGGAATGTGCATGGGTTTTAAAAGTGAAGAAAAGTGGAAAAAGTTGGAAATGATGAGTCGTTGTGTAGTGTTCAAGGAGGGTGTAGTCACTTATACTTAAATGATATCCTAACCTTCCCTGAGCCTATATTACAAGCTTAACAAAGTCCTTGGAGATTTCTAACCAAATGGAGTGGAGTCAATATTGATAGAAAATAGGTGACATTTGTGTGCATGAGATGATTTTTAGTGAGTGCGAGTGTTGCATCTTTGTCCTCGTATTGTTTGTATGTGTGGTTTCGGGATACTTCTTTCTTGTGAGGGCATGCAAGTTGAAATATTAATGATTTTTCTTAATTGAGTCAAGTGAGCTAATGAGTTGAGTCATTTCTTGAGTTTGAGTTGTTGTCACTTAAATGATTCTTGATTTTTTATAATGTTTCATGTGAATGAGAGGATTTCTTTTGTGGAAAGTTTTCATGTGGACTATTTGTTGGTACCAACCGAGGCCATTACCTTTGTGCTTAATTGAGAAATGGAAATTGATTTGTGGTGTATCTTGAAATAAGAATCTCTTATGTTTTTTGATTTTCTTGACTTGATGAAAAACAAACTTTCTAAGTTGGGGTGTTGATTTGTGGTAGATTTCTACTCATTTGAGTCTTTTTTTCGTAGTTATTTTGGCTTTTAGTTTATAATTGTTGCTTTTTGATGTGGTTTTGCACGAAAATTAAATGGAGAGTTCGTACAAAATGTTGAACGTGCAGGGTTAGCACCATTCGATTGTTGGCTTTGTTTTAGAGGAACCAAAACAATGGAAGAAAATGCTTCTACCGTCTTCAATGTTTCACGTGCCGGAGTTTGTGGATGCTATTTGGGTTGCTCTGTGGGATCCAATGTTGGCTGTTCGGGAGAAGGTTGTTTAGACATTGCGTGCCTGCCTTCTTGTTATTGAAAAGTGTGAGACACGACGGCGTGTTCAGTGGTATGTCTACTTCTCTCTCCTCCCTTATAGTTTTTCAGAAAATGTCATTAACATTTTATCAATATGTGATTGAATGTATCAGTCACAAATTTCTTGTTCCAAGGCATTTACTCTTAAATTGGTGATTCCGACAGGTATTATCGAATGTTTGAGGCTACCCAAGATGGATGGCGGAGAATCGCTCCTGTTCATAGTATAATTGGATCTCTTCTCGCAGTCGGGGAGCCGCTAAGGTTTGCTATCGAATTGCATTGCATTATTTAATTTCATTGTAGGAAAGTATTTCAGAGTCTCTTGTTGTGCTGTGTTAAATTGCTGTGATCTGCTGAATGTCTGAGGAACTGGATATTTATCTCCCGTTTGACTAGAGATTTTGAAGTTGAAACTTGAATATTTGAAGTTGTGATTTTCGGACATGCATTTTACTTGGAAAAGAACTAAAGTTTTGTTAATGGAAGTGAATTGGTGAGGAAGTGGAACCAGACGTGATTTTGATTTTGATAGGATTGAGGGAAATTAAGGAAGGATGTACATCTTGAGTTCTTTTCTTGATTTTTTTTCTTTTTCTTGATTTTCTTTCCTCAATTTTAACAGGAAGTCTCGGATGGAGTTTTCTGAAACATTCATCTTAAGTTCTTTTCTCTATTATTTTTTCGATAAAGTGTTCTTTTCTTGATTTTCCTTCCTCAATTTTACAGGAAGTAAAAAGGAGATTGAAATAGAAAGAACGCAGAATGCTGCACTTTACTTTTGGGCACATCTATTTTTATTTGGTTTTGTGTGGAAGAAGATCAGCAGATATACTCCTAAGTCTTTCTTCAGTTTCAGCCTTAGAAGGTAACCAAGGTGGATCAGAGGACGACTATTTTTATCTTACACAACTTCTATTATTATTGTGGGTTTCTATATGATTTTTTTAATGCAGATTTGTATCATGACACGATATTGAAGTGACTGTTCACTGTTTTGTATACAAGATTCCTCTTATATGCCTCTTGTTAATTATTCTTATTCACTTTCCCCTCCATCAATCAAGAGAGATGGATAGGTCCTGGTTTTAAATTTATATCAGTCATGTTAGCGAACTTTTTGGTTTGAATAATTATGTGAATATCCAGGTTTTGTTTGTGTTTGTTTTCATTCACCTTTCCTGCTTTATTTTTTATTGAAGGGTTAGCAGAGATGTCTTTTGATGTTGATTTCTGTCTTAATCATATAACATTCTGTTTTTTCCGAATGTTGTTGTTTGAGTTTGAATGCTATTGGATGCTCTCTCTCTGCCTCTTTCCATTCTTCCTAGTTCCCTCGTCTAAAGTTCTCTTTTAAATACTTGAGTTGCTTGTGAACCATGCCAGAAATCTTATTTTATTTTCTTTGGTAGGATGGGTCTGCATTGGCTTTGAGGCGGCTTGTAGAGGTAGAAGCTCGTGATCTTAGTGGAGAAGGTTTTGCTCGTTTTTTTATTTATTTTGAAACTGTTAACTTTGTGTCTATTGATAGAAACAAATCTGTACATGGGATGTACTAGGGCCATATTTACCAGTAAATCCAGATCCTATGATCCCATGTCTATAATGAAGCTAACACATCAATAATAGATACATGATCATTAGACCGAATCTGATTACACCAAAAACATAGAATTAAAATACAATTCAATTTGATCTGTTCTATACTATTTTCTATGTTCTCAAAACACCTAGCATTTCTCTCCTTCCAAATTGTCCACCATATGCTGGCTGGTATGATTCTCCACCTACTTCTGCTTCTTGCCAGAACCCCAACTTCTTCCCAACTTTGAAGGGCCTCTTGGCATAGTCCAGGAGAAACCTTTAAGGTTTAGGAATAGCCTCCAAAGCTGACATGTGATCTTGCAGTGAAGGAATAAATGTCGAACAGTTTCTGCTTGTTCTCCGCAAAAAACGCATCTCGGACATAAAATTATCCCCTTTTTCATCAGATTGTCTTATGTTAGGATAGCTTCCTTAGATCGGAGCCAAATAAAACATGATACCTTGTAGGGTATATTCACTTTCCATATAGTTTTTCAGGGCCAGTTGGCATTCTGTTGATTGTGACTATTCAACCATCTGTATGCTGCCTTCCCTGAAGGTTAAGCTCATCTTCCCCTTCTTGTGTTCCTTTAAACTGGCCAATAGTGTTAAGGAAATCTGCAACTCTTGTGATTTCCCAGTCATTTACTTGTCTTCTGAAACTGATTTCCCACCCATTAGGTGTCCACATTCCTGCAATTGTTCTTTGCTGATTTAACATTAAGTTGTGGATATCTGGGTAGATATTCTTCAGAATCCCCATCTCATGCCAGTTATCTCCCCAGAAACTTGTCTTTTCCCCATTTCTAACCTTAACCTTGGTTTTGATCTTGAAATCATCCCACAAGGCCCTTATAGATCTCCACAAATTCACTCCATATGGGGAAAATACTTCCTTTGTCATCCACCTATTTTCTACTTCATACTTGGCCTTGATGACTTTTCTCCATAACAGATGTTTGTCGTTAGCATATTTCCACAACCATTTCATTCTGAGGTCCTTGCTATGATTCTGCAGATTTTTAATACCCAAAACCCCCATACCTTTTTTCTATTATCAGATCATTCCACTTTACCAGATTGTAACCTCTCCTGTCCTTGTTTCCCCGCCATAGGAACTTCCTTCTGATTCTATCCAATCTGTCAGTGACCCCTACTGGAATGGGAAATAAAGACATCATGTAAGTAGGCATAGCATCTAGGACTGAGTTAATTAGAGTAAACTCTTCCTCCAAGAGACAAGTATTGCCCCTTCCATCTAGCCAGTTTCTTCTCACACTTTTCTATTACACTGCTCCAGATCTCTTTAGACATTGATTTAGCACCCAAAGGCATCCCAAGGTATGTAGTTGGGAGAGCCCCAACTTGTCCACCTAGGATTATGTTTAGTGCCTCCATGTTATGTACTTCATTAATGGGATAAAGAAAACTCTTTCTCCAATTAATATGCAACCCAAAGATTCCTTCAAACAGGACCAATATTACTCTCAGATATTTGAGTTGTTCTTCTGCCCACAAAAGATGAGTGTGTCATCTGCATATTACAAATGAGTAATTATCTGTGTAAAGTCCGTGATAAAAATCAATTACCTTTTTTTATTACAATTTTGTTTGTATCTTGTGTGATCTCACCTTATACCTCCAATTGATCAATGTTATTGTACCTTTTGTGGGAATTTGCAATTATGTGGAAATACTAGGTGTTTCTGTCCCCCTCTTTCAACCATAGGGTTCTTGATCTTTGTCGCCAAGCAATTTCTTCTTTTTTTGATTAGATTCTCATATTCCAGTAGCACCTCACATTTCCTTGTGGATTCTTCTTTTGATAAAGTCCTGGTTGTAGTTTATCATGGTTGTAACCACAGAATCAAATCTGCCAACTTCTCTAACAATTTCTCTCTGTAAACCTAAATTCCTTGAACTTCTCTGCTCCATTCCTTAAGTTTATTCTTAAGGGCTTTCATTTTACAAGCCAATACATAGTCCGGTTTCCCCCCAAAATTTAATTTGTTCCACCAGTCTTTGACTCAATCTGTGAACCCCTCAGTATCTAGCCACCAATTTTCAAACTTGAAATACCTTTTATTTTTGTTCCAGGTCCCACCTTGTAGAGCTAATGGTACATAATCTAAAATAATCCTTTAAAGTGGGATTACTTTCAAGTCGTTGAAGCTTTCATCCCATTCTTTTGAAAATAGGATTCTATCTATTCTGGAAGCTACTTCATTGTTGTCCCCTTTGTACTAGGTGAATGTTGCATTTTCCATTTGAAGATCAATTAGCCCCATATCTTCAATGAAATCTGAAAATTCCCTCATCCCTATAGTTCTTCTAACACAGCTCCTTTTTTCTGCCACAAACCTACTAACATTATAATCACCACAAACAACCCAAGGCCCTTGGAACAGACCTCTGACATCACCAATCTCTTCCCATACTGATCGTCTTTCAATGTAGCAATTTGGTGCGTACACCCCAGTAATATGACGAAAAGCTTTGGAGTTGAGCTTCAAACTTGCAAGTTAGGGTATATGAACCAATCTCGAGAATTTCTCCCTTCCATATTCTGATATCTCACATCATCAATATACCCCCTCTTGTTCCAATGGCCTCCAAGTACTCATATTTGATCCATATATTTCCCTAAATTTGGTTTACTAACTCTGTAATGTCCCCCTACAACTTTGTTTCTTGGAAACAATAAATGTCTGCTTTCCAATCAAACACCATACTTTTAAGTTTTAGCAAGTCTCCTTTTATCTCTACAATTCAATCCTCTCACATTCCATGAAATTAGTTTGAATCGCATCAAGAACTATTGTGGTTGTCTCTCCCCTTGGCCCTGTTTCCGCCGCTTTTGAATTTTACATCAAAGACCACCAAATTTTTGAGTTCCTGGGCACTTTTGATTCTGGTCTTCCTGAATATATGTCTCCATTCTTGTTACTTTTCTGCTACTATCTACCTGCAACAATAAGTAATTCTAGAGCTTCCTCTTCGTGACCCTGAAAGTTTGCACCCAAGATTTTCCCTAACCATGTTTTGTTTTACCCATAGTGAAGTCTACTTCTCTTTGTCTTGTATCATTAGCTGAGTTTGAGTGCAAAGAGGCTCGACATCCTCCACCTCCCAATTTTCTATTGCTTCTACAAAATTTTTGGATTATTAAATCTATAGTCCCTTGTGTAATTTTGTTACCCTTTCTCGCTGAATTGTCAAGAATGTTCTGACCCCTTTGATAGCTGCGAAGTTTCCCCCTTAGTTTCCATTGTAGTCCCATTACTTCATCCTCTGTTCTCATCTCTGCTATCTGCGTATCCACTGGAGCAGTTTGTTCTTGTTAGGTGCTAAGAAAGACTTCATAGAAGTCATCTTTTATTGAGGATATGGACCCAAATTCATTTAAATTGTTGTAAATAAAGTGGGTTGCTGGGTTTGGCCCAATTAACTTTTTATTTGTTGGGTCCAGAGTGTATTGTTCCTTGGTTCTTTTCTCATTAAAACCCTGCACATGTTGTGCACATGACTGTGACTCTTTTTTACCTCCAACTGTCAACTCTGAACAACCCACGTGCTCTCTGTCAACCAAATCCCTAAAAGCATGGGATATTGGTACTTTGTCACAGAGCAAACTCTGCTTTGTCCGCTGGGTAATAGGATTTGCTGGGTAATGCCATCCATCATCTTCTCCGGCGCTACCTCCGACGGATTCCGACAAAATTTCAATCGGGGTTTTGACTCCCACCAGATCGGGAGGGATGTAAAACTTGAGGCCATTTTGTGAAATTGCTACTTCTTTCGGAATACTCTTCCCTTCATTCGCGACCAGAATTCTGGCCCACTTTATGTGGTTCCTGAGCTTTGTTTCTTCCTCCATAGCCAACCATCCCCATACACTTCTCCAATTTCCTAGATAACTTTGTGCGACCACAACTGTAGTGGTATTCCAACATCTCTAATCCAGGTTTCCTTTGGACTTCTAGAGATTGATGTACACCCCTCTGTCGAGCTCCACCACTTGAGATTGAGTTTGTTCTTCTGCCAGTACCATTGATGTTGTACAATCTGGTCCGCCATGAATCTATTGGGGAATTCGAACAAAAATCTTCTATTATTCATCTCGTAGATATTTACCCCAAAGATGATTTTCCAGGTGGTTGAGGACCATCTCCTTATCTCACTCAATGTAGGTCCCTCATTGCTTTCATCTTCCGAGTCCCAAACCAGACATTTGTTTAGCATCCCTGTCTCTTCAGCTCCTGGTTTAACAGAAATTTCTATTACTCCCTCTAACCTATGTTTCTCCCGTTTTCTTTGGATACCATTTATTGTCTTCAACTGCCTTAGCATAAGGGTAGTTGAATTCAGTTAACCTGGGTGGGCCTGCCACTTCCTGTTTCTTTGGGCATTTAAGAAACTCTTCAATTTTATGAGCAATTTCACACCAACCAACATTCAATGTTGTCTCTGGAATAATCAATACTGATCTCCCCCCCTTATTTAAAGAAAGAATGCTCATGTATCTTCCGTGTTCATTTCATTTCCTGGTATTAAAATGCTCTCCCCCTTTTCCGACATTTTTCATCTCCGGATTAAGTTCTTTTGGTCCTTCGAAGCTTCCTTCAAGGTGAAGCAAATCCATTCCATAGTGTTGCTGCTCATTTCTGTCCTTCTCATCAATGTGCGGCTTCTCTCAACCCATTCATACCAGACTGTTGTGTTCGTTGTCCATCTCGTGATGTCAAAAGATTTGAATCCAGCATTGAAGTAAATCCTAGTCATATTCTCCCCCATGATCACTGTAGTAGTGAGGTAGGAGAACAAAGAAAACTAACCCTGAATGGAGGAATTGGAGGGGAAAGAAAGAAAGAAAGGTTGGTTAGAAATATTCCGGCAAGATACCAAAATTTCGAATAGTTGGAAAGAAGAAGAGGGAAGATTCTGATTGAAGAGGTCCACCGGAATAGGTGTCCTGAGGTCCATAAGGGACCTTAGGTGTTTTCCTCAAAACTTTTGTCTAGGAGCGTTCTCTAATTTTTTTGAGCCTTTTATGTCTTTTTTTACTCGTTTTATGGATCATATATATGAACGCATTACCATATTTCTTGATAGTCATGAAGTTTCTGAAAATCTGGGAGCATAGAGGGCTATTGACGATCTAATAGATGTCACCATCAGTGAAAATGCATCAAAAGTGGCACAATTCTCCAACATTTGCGTTGCTTTTGAAACAAAGTGTGATCCTGAAATCTTGGTCCTTGCTAGTAAAGTTCTTGGTCAAAAGTTTAGGGAGTCCCTCGTGTTCTCCTTTGATATTTGCACTGTGAGAACACAATCTCATTTTCAGTTGGGGGGTGCCTCCCTTCTAGTCATTTTGTTGATTGTTTCTGCTTATAGTGATTGTGCCCTTGTCGGAAGTACGTTTCTTTCTTTATTATGGATTGGTGTGCCCTTGTCAGGATTTGATATTGGGAATGTTTATGTTGATATTGTGTTGGATTGGTCTATTTTAGTTGTTGATTTGTAGTTTGTAGCTTCTTTGTTTTTATTTTGATAAAAAGATTTGGATTGACAATGCCCGATGATGGATAGAGCATGACGACTTTCTAAACGGTAAATCGTCGATTGCTTGTGAGTGTTTTGATTGGCGTTGATTGTGGCGATGTCTGAGTAGTTGTTCCCGAATAGATGCATGAGGTTGCCTCAATAGTTATGAGTGATTTTGTGACAACTGTTATAACTCTTTTTGTAACTTTTGATTCATTAGCGGTTAAAATGTTCAATGCTACTTGTATTTTCAAAAGGAAGTAAGATTTTGAACCGTCTTAATTGATTTGCAGGCCATGTGTGGTGAGTTGTTGCATAATGCCTTGTGTTTGCTTTTGTCACCTAGAACTTGCCCAGTTGGTCTTGAATGAGTTTTGTTGGAGAAATGATGTGAGGCTTTCTTTAATATCTTGAAGTCCAATAAAGTTACCAGTTTCAAAAAAAATATCTTGAAGTCCACTTGGCCTAAAAATCTCACCTTTGTACTAAATATATCCTTAGTTGTCCCCTTTGAGCCTAATCCTTTTTATTGGCAACCACAAGCCTTATCCTTTTTGAAAAGGTAACCCTCTTTCGAACCCTTCCCTTCTTGAACTTGAGGTTGTGAAAGTTGAGGCTAAAAGCCTAAGTTGTGGGTGTTATGGACAATTCATTGAAGGGATGCTTACCACGTGAGGGCATGTTGTAAAAAAACGAAAATATAAAGAAGAGAGAAATTGAGGGATGGGTGGAAAGTCTTAAAGAAAGAAAAAGTAAGAACGAAAATGAATAAATGAGTCTTGAATCCTCCAAAAGATGAAATTGGCTGCATGTGAAGCATCTAGAGTCGAAATAAGAAAAGAAAAAATGAAAAATAGTGTGGAATGTGCATGGGTTTGAAAAGTGGAGAAAGTTGGAAATGATGAGTCGTTGTGTAGTGTTTAAGGAGGGTGTAGTCACTTATAGATTGCATCTAGAATGCATTTGTGATCTATAGGTTGATTATGTTCTGTGGGGCTACCTGGGGGTTTCAGTCATTTATAGAAACCTATTTTTAGTATAGTGAGCCGTGTGTATCATGCCTTCAGAACAGGTGCGAGTCAGTTTTTTCGTTTCAGTATTATGTAAGGCCATAAAGTTATCCACCATGACTAGTTTCAAAATTCTACTTCTCAGAAATAAAAAGAAGGAATAAGTTTAAAGAATTTATAGAACTTCAACGTAACTGAATTGTCTTTTCTCTTTAGAGTTTCTGGGACTTCTTAGCTATTGTTACTCTTAATCTTGAAAGATCCCGAAATACAGTATTTTAGCATGAGATATTGGATGTAGGTCCTGAATGGTTAAGTAGGCTATTGGACATAGATTTGATTGAAACTTTAAAAAGAAGTTTTGAAGTTGGAGTTGTATTGGACATGTATCGCACTTGCAAAAAGTTGAAGTTCAATGAGTTGAAAGAAATATTCACTGATGTCAAACTTGAAAATCCCATCTTCAAAAAGTTAACCAAAAAATCATTCCAATGCATAACCAAACAATGTTTTGAAAATAACTTTTGGTGAAAAGATAAAAAAATTCTCAGTCAAAAAGATTCTAGGATAGTTGTTGGTTTGTGACGGAGCGGTTTGCCTGTCTTTGAGGTGCTAGTGGGGTGAAGGGAAGATTCTTAGGTGATGGATGGCTGCATGAAGAGAGTGGTGGTCGAGGTACCTCTGCTAGCTATTGGAGGACAGTTTTTTCTTTGCTGTATTGCCATGTATTTAGTTATGCTAATATGTTCCATAACTACTTTAGTTTCACGCATTTATGTGCCTTTTGTTTTAGTCTCCTTCACAAAGAATAATGTAATATGCTCAAGTCATATGCTATGGGATTTGGACCCACTATTATCTCTGCTTGTGATATGATAAGAGTTAATTTATCACCAAAATGTGCAGGAACACAGGGGAGTTCATGATGTCAATATACAGGGAGGTTGCTGAAATTGTTCTATACCTGGAGCACCAAGGTATCTTTACTTCTTCGAATAGCCCATTTCCTGCGTGATCAATTTGTGACTAACTATTTAACGGTTTGTGACATTTGACTTCATTTTCGTGATTTAATCTGCTTTTACTAACTGGAAAATCTAGATGAATGAGATTTGCATCTTTAATGTTGGCTACTGTAACCTCAAGTTTGTTGATTTTACTTCTACCGATATGCATGAATCATATACTTCATGTCCTTAAAATACCTGCTGAATGTGCTAGTGGGTTCATTGCTCTTGGGGAGATGGCAGGTGCTCTGGATGGTGAACTCATTAACTTTTTGCCGACAATAACCTCTCACTTGCGTGATGTGGTATGTTATATATGTCATTGCAGATTTTGTATTCCTCAGCATTAAGGCTATGCCGGCAACCTTTAAAAGATGTGCCCAGAAATTAAACGAGGAAGAGTAAAAACAGAAGAAGAAAAAGCTAAATACTTACAAAAGCAACTTAAAATATACTCATCGTTCATCTACTTGTACACCTTCTTTACACCAAAAGTATAATGTATTGAAACAGTTTTTTCTTACTGTCTGAACAAGATTGGTAATATCCTCAAAACGTCTATTGCTTCATTTCTTCCAAATTGACCACCATAGACATGATGGTATTATCTTCCAACTTATCTAGTCTTTCTTCCACCCTAGAACGAATGGGGAACACAGGCATTTCATAAGTTGGTAAAGTATCCAGGACCGAGTTGGTTAGAGTGATCCTGCCAGGCTGCCACCAAGAGATATATACTGAGCTTTTCAATTGGCTAGTTTCCTTTTATGTTTTTTCCACAATCCCTTCCCAAATTTCCAACTCTCTATGACTATTACCCAGTGGCCGAGATAAGTAGTTGGGAAATTCTCAATTCTGCACCCTAGAATGATGGCCAAACTCTATATTTGTGGTGCTTCCGTTACTGGGAAAATACTATCGTTTTACCCTTTGACAGCTAGACAAGAAACAACCTAAAAGACTACTAACACCACTCTGTTGTAGCTACGTCATTCTGCCTTAGCCTCACAGAATATAACAATATCCTCTGCATACAACAAGTGACATATTTGTAGTTCATCCCTTGAGTGATTGCCTATTCTGAAACCTCTGACCCTATTGTTCTGATTAGTCGAGCCTGTCAATTTTTATAGTACCTATAGATTTTATACTTTTGTAACCAAGCTTAGATGTAGCTTGTAATTTTAACCTTTATGGGGTTTCCCTTTGGAATCCATATAAATGTTACCTTATAAAAAAAAAAGGTTATAAATACCTTTCCAAGTATTTTGAGTCCAACTTCTGACATCGTTGCGAATGGGGATCTCGTCGCATCCCTGAAAGCTGCCTACCAGGCTTCTTATCAGGGGATCTTTGTCACTGATCACTTCTTTTGCTGCTGAATCTGTTTTGTTAGTATGTTCAAGTGCTGCCCATTTGTTCTTGTGTATCACATCTTTGTAACTCCCTTCACCTATTTCTCCCCAGTTAGACTCATCCTTATTTGTTGTAATTGAATTTTTTTTCTCTGGTAGCTTGTTAATAAAATTTTCAATTTTCTTAATTAGTCCCTCCCAAGCTTCATTAAATGCGGTTTCTGGAAGAATGATGACTGATTTGGATTCTTCAGTAACTGCAATGATCGAAATAAATATGCAATATTTTTTGAACTTCAAGGAGCAATAAATGTATGTGGACGGATCTCTGCGTTTCCAAGACTTGATGGATTTCCCTTTTAAGTCTAATGCCTTCTTTATTGTTCTGCACAACCACACCAGAGGTCCTCTGCTTAAGGTCATCCTTCTCATATAAAATTTTGCACTCTCCAGCCATTCATACTAGATTCCAGATGTTGATTTGGTTTCTGTACCC